GTCTTCAAAGGCATTGCCTACTACCCTAAATATACTGAACTATATACTGAACAATATAGCGAAATGCCTTTGAGAATATGAAATGTCTGACCATAGAGCTAACTGTCAGTATGCTGAGGCAAATGTGCACAAGCACAGCGCGTGGTTCAAACAGTAGTGGGAGGCTTGTAAGCAATCGGTCGTGTCTAGTAAGTGCAATGCTAGAATAGTATTTGCTAGTGGAAGAGAGTCGCATGACGGCTACGGGAACACAAGTTGGCACTGCGGCAATAAGAACTGTCGTCTGAAGGACTCGCCACTGCCTTGAACATATATCTGGAAGTCCAAGAACCAAAAAACACAATTAGTCAAACAAAGAGCAGAGGGATTCGGACTCTGACCAAAGCCCAAGAAATGGCTGCCCCTACTTCGCGCCACGTACCCTGCCTAAGCCGGAAGCTGAGTGGCTAAACAAGATCGCAAATAATGCCAACTTCCAGTTGGCTTATTTCTTTGATTATAGACACGAAGATGTGAAGGCTTCCGTGCGCCTAAAGTAGATTAACTACTTGATCGCCCCAATGTCTACAGCGAAATTTAAACAATAAAAAGAGCTCACCACAAGTAGCTGAAATGGGGATTCGTACGCCATTTGAGAGGACTAGCTCGAGACCAATGTGCAACTGTCGGCCGCTGCCGGTCAGAATTGGGGAAACCTGAGTAGGTGCAGAAAGTGAGGCGATGGTCGGCGCCGTATGCGGCCAGTTGGCAGCTGTAGTCACGGTCAATGGATGCGTCGAAGCAGCAGCAGCTGCTGCAGATGGAGAAGTTGACAGAGTATTGGCCAGTTGTGAGGGGGTCGATGTGCCGTTCTTAAGGATTTGGAATTTAAGAGGGGACGTGAATTTAAGAGCGGCAGCAGCAGACTTGGCCTGGACGGGAGGAATACCATTAGTACCGCGCTGGATATTTGGCCCAGACGTACTGGTGGCGACCGTAGCCATGGCAGCAGCGGCAGACGAGATCCTAGGACGAATTTTGAAACCACTGTCTACTGTCGTCACACTGACAACTGTCGCCGGCTTGGCTACATTCGACTTGACAGTAGTGGAAGAGACGCCAACCCCTTCGCGGCAATTTAAATTTTCAGTCAGGTGAGCGGCTACAAAAGGAATGAAACATCCTGTACTGCATTTGCTTTCTGAAGCAGCAAGATTTGCATGGAACACGACAATGCGATGAGCACAGCCACTTTACGCAATAACTGCCCTAGTGTAAGGCAAGTGGAATTTTAAACCTAAAAACTAATGTTCTATATCCTTATAGGTAAGACAAGGCAGGTGTTTGGTGAAACAGCCCTTGCAAGCGCGAGAATAGTAAGAGGAGCATTACCTGCAGAACTGCGGTTTCGGTTGGAGGCTCTTCGTTTCGCAGGCGGACCTAGAAAGAGAAGAAAGAATTAAGAACAACAAAGCCAAAGTTAGGGGGCAATCAGCATGTTTGAGAACGGTAGCTAAATGTTTACCGAAAAATTAAAATCATTCGCATGACACCACCACTGCACAAACTGCAGGTTGAAGTCATATAACAGAAAGGTTCCTAAGGTGGATGGGAAAGATGAACTCATCAGCCCTTTTACTCCGGCATTAAGATCCTACTATGAAGAAAAAGTACGTGTAGGAAAGATGAAGGACTCAAAAAAATGAGCCCTTACAGACACCGAGGAAGCAAATGGAGGGAGAAGTTGGATTTAAAAAGCAACGATTGGCCGGTATTGAACCGAAAACAGTGGTGCATGGCACGCCCGGGTGGGGCTAATTATTTAGATGGTTTAACAAGCATAAAAATAGAAGTATTCCGGCAAAGGCAGGCACTCTAGAATAGCTATTTCTGGTTGTATTGGTCGTCATCAGCTAGGGATAGCCAACTCTAGTGTAGCCGCGGAAATTGCTGCCACGTTCGACTTTCGAACTCGCGTCTCGTCGGTCAGAGGCAAACTTCCTAACCATTGAGCCACGAGTTCGCTGCCTTGCCGGTTGCTGATCGGGAGTGTATAGTAGTTAATTGTACACCAATCTGTCTTTCAGGATGTATCCATCCTGGTTGATGTCTCACGAACTCGGGCCGAGTGTGTGTTCGCAAGACTGTTAATTGCAATGTTACTAATTAAGTTCTAGTAACATACATTTATGTTATGGTAGTATTCCGGTAAAGGCAGGCATAAAAATGCCTATCCTCAAGCGGCGGATATTCCAAATTGACCCCACATGACGTTTAGCAATCATCTTGGCCCCATGAGGCTATAATACATGCAACGGCCACACGCCGGGAACCCCCTTGACGGGCAGTCAAAGCCAAAGAGAGTAACAGGACTTGCTACTTCCACGCCAGGAGATTTAGATGACAAATGAGAGCGCGGCCAGTCGTACTATAGAACGTGCAGACGGGGGCTTTACACTATGTCAGTTACCGCGCCATAACGCATCGACAGTCGTCGGAAAGTAGCTTTGACGTCGAACCAATCGAAATGGGTAAGGTCAGTACTGCGTAAGCCTGTATGATATAATACGGTGTACGTGCAAGTCACCAGCTCCTCGCCGACTTCAGCACACGAGTTACCGATGACCTTGGTAAAACTGTAGCGTACTGAATCAAGACAGTCTTCATTAGCAGTGCGGGGAACAATGCAGTTCTGGGATAATACTAATATCCTTCTAATTATATTCAATCAGGGCTTGCCTAAGCACATGTAGTTCACGGTTTATTTACTGAAAACCGTAATGGGGAACTTGCAATCAAGCCGCTAATGTGAACACGGTTGGAGCTTAAATGAGTTATGAATAGAAGCGAAGGTTCGCATCCAAGGTATGTGTAT